GCCTCGGGTTTGATTTTATTAATAAGAACTTTTAAGATTCCTGCTACAACCCTCCATTTGTTCACACAAGGCTTCTATGTCTATTGCCTTACCCAAGAGTCTCTTCAGCCCTATTCCTTCTCTTAAAAACATGTATTTAAGGCAGGAGTTGTAGTTCAGTGGCAAATTCTCACCTGTAATGCATGAAGCCCTTGGCATTGATTCACACACACACACACACACACACACACACACACACACACACACACACTGGGGCAGGGAGGGAAGAGAAAGAGCAGGGTGGGGGAGGACAGCCTACTATATGCTAGATTCTGTGAGAATGATAAAGAATAGATTTTCCGTCACTAATTATTCCAGGTAAGGAGGAGAAACTAATCAACTCCCTAACTACAGTGGCCCCAAGAACAGCATGACAAAGACCACTAGACTCAGGGTCTGCAGAGACAGAGCCTGTCCTGCATCCAAATCATTGTATAAACAGGAACAATTCACTGTTCCTATCGGAGACCCACCCCCACCCCCACCCTGCTTCATCCAATAAATGGCAAGTTTAATACACAGCACATAAGCTACACTGTAACAGAAACCATACATCAGCTACAGGGTTTCTAACCCAGTAAGGACATAGACTTAGGTACTTCAAACATAGAGCTTTAGGCCATCACCATTCATTGAAACCAGATATCCATCCTTATTAGGCATTCTCTATGGTTCCAAATAAAGTCTCTCTATGACAAAGTCAGAAGCAGGAAAAGATCCTAAAGGTCCCCATTCCCTAAGCTCAGGAAGAGTAACAACTAAGGACTAGCTGTAGAGAATCCAAGCCAACCTGGGGCGCCCATATTTCTTTAAAACTCATAGGCTTCAAACTGCCTGACTTTGAACCCCAGTTTCACTTACCAACTATTAAAACAAAGGCTTTGCATCTGAGCCTCAGTCTTTCCAGGTGCCATTGTAAAGATTAAACGGGCTGATAATCATAAACCATTAGGAGCAGTGGCTAGCACATACCACAGCCATTACAGAAGGAATCCTCTCCTGAGCATCATGAGTTTCTTCATTCTGTGGTGTGGCTGGGAACTAGAGGGCCTTCTTCAGGATTTAAATGAGCATTTCCTGGGCCTGGCTGATGGGACCTCACTTGGGGGGACTCCAGACCTCATCTCACTAGATCCCAGATGAGCAGATCAAGTCATCAAGCTCCACATGGCCTTGCTTCCAGGCTTAGAGCAAGAATTGAGCACAGAATACACAGCAGCCTTGAGATCTCTGGCTAAGTCTGAGCCACTGTCCTCCACCCTACAGACATAGTAAACACCTAAAGACTAAAGGGAGAGCAATAACAGAGGAGTTATTGCTACTGGAAATGGGGAACAATTTCTTCTTTAAATCTTGGCTCTCTGAGCTTTCTTCAAGCCACCTTTAGCAAGTAGACAGGATGTAAAATTGCTAAGGTATCACCGCTTTTCTGCCTCTTATTTACAAAAATGTTTAGCCTCTGTGATCAGTTCTCAACATTCCCTCACCTTGAGAGCCTCAGAATCTCTAGCAAACCAGCAATCCTCCTGTAGCTGCTCCTACAGGGTGAAAGTCTGCGCCACTGTCTCCTTCCTCCTCCTCATTATCATCATCACTGTCCATCCGGAGGCCAAAGCTGGGGGACATCATCTGCTCTGGCCCTGCAGTCCCTCCTCCACCCACGCCGCTGCTGCAGCAGGCCAGCCCAAGCCCCTGACTAAGGAAACCTTGAGTTGTAGCTTTTCTGCCCCCCCCCCTTTTTTTCTCCAAGATAAGGTCTCTCTATGTAGCACTGGCTGGAATGCCCGCCATAGACCAGGCTGGCCCTGAACTCACAGAGATCTGCCTGCTTCTGCCTCCCAAGTCCTGGGATTAAAGACATTCACCACCATACCCTGGCTTAGCTTTACTCTCTTATCTAGTGCCTTCCTGACCTCCCCCCAGGCCTATAAAGAACCTCCAGGACTCCTAGTGCATAGGCTAAGTCACACGATAGGGAACCTCCCCTGCCTACTCCCAGAAGCCTATAAGAGCAAGGAGTTCTCTTTGTCCCTGGTACTGAAGTCTCCCCCCACCTCCCTTCAGGACTCCTTCACACTGCCTATGGCATGATCATGACGTTAACAATTTTCCTTAAAAAGTTCTCGCCTGACAATGAAGGTCTCATCTGAAGGGCAATCCATTTCTGTACCTTTTGCAAGTTTTATCTACCAACCACCCTTCTCGGGTCCCAGTTTTACAGATGAGGTTTTGTGGGCTAAGGCAAGGGTCACAAGGGGACCACAATACGAAATATATAGCCAGGCTTCCTCAGACCCTTTCAGTGACCAAGGAATGGTCCCAACATATGTGAACCCTACCATAACAGAAAGCTGTAGCTGCCTCTACCACTAACTGCCCTGAGCCCACCAGGGACCAAGTGCATTTATTGGCAGCAAAGCCCCTAAGAGTCTGCACATTCCCTCTTCTACCCCTGCTTCCCATTGTTCATCTCCTGAGACACTTACCTGTGCCTCTAAACCTCACAGTCCATTCACAGTGAAATTGCCTGCATCTTCCACTTCTTCTCTGGATGCTGCCTTCGAACTGGTCCCTGGAACAACAAAAGGAACAAGGAGGCTATGGAGCACATCAGGCTGGAGCCCAGGCCATAGGAGCAAAAGGCAAACTAGGTGCCTCATAAGCTGGTTGGCAGATGCATCGTGTTAAATCGTGTCCTCTGTGGGCACAGCTGGTCACAGCCATACAGCTGGGTGAGAGTGTACTTGCAGTACTCAGGAGACGTTAGCTAGTTGCAGCTAAAGTTGCTCCAGAAGCTGGAGAGATGTCTGAATAATTAACAATGTTTCCTGCTCTTCTAGAACGCCCTAGCACCCATATTGGGAAGATCTCAATGCCCTGAATATAGCTCCTGAGGATCCAATGCCCTCATCTGGCCTCTGCAGGCACCTGCACACACATGTGCACTTACACACACACACACACACACACACACACAAATGGGCCAGGGATCTGTGCCATGGGAGAGTACAAGCTCCTTTCAGCATTCTTGGACTGGAGATGGACTGGCCACTAGACCTTGTCCTTGTCTTAATCTTCACTCTCTCTAACCCACTTTTTACTCTTCCCAAAGGCCAATCACCGAGGGGAAACTGAGGCGCCCCTCAGTCCCCCCACACACACCTCAACAGAGACGGTGGTAGGAAACATAGTGAAAATCAATGGCTCTTCGTCCAGTGACTGATGGAGGCAGATGCAGAGATCCACGGCCAGGCACTAGGCTGAGCTCTGGGAATCCAAAATCCAATTGATGAGAGAGAGGAGGGATTCTGCAGGGGGGGGGGATGTCAAGATCATGATGGGAAGACATGCAGAGATGACCTGACCGGCCACACTAGTGGAAGCCCATGAACTGTAGACTAGTGGCTATGGAGCCCCCATGGGACTGGACTAGACCCTGTGGATTCGGAAGACGGTTGTTTGGCTCAAACTGTTTGGGGGGCACTGAGGCAGGGGGATCAGGATCCATCCCCGGTGCATGGGCAGACTTTTGGGAGCCCAGTGCCTGTGGTGTGATGCCTTGCGCAGCTTTGGTACAGTGGGAAGGGGCTTGGACCTGCCTAGGCTCAGTGTGCCAGGTTCTGCTCACTCCCCGTGGAAGACCTTGATTTGGGGGATGTGGGAGGGAGGGCTTGGGGATGGGAGGAGGGAGGAGGTGGGATCTATGGGTGGTATGTAGAGTGAGTTTCTTAATAAAGAAAAATGGAAAAAAAAGAAGAAAGAAAATCAAAGGCTCTGTTCTAGGTACAACCTATCCACCTCCTACTGTGGCCCTGACAACTTACTTACCCCCTCTAAATGTCTGTGGCCTCAGTGGGTGGTCATACCACCACACCACTAAACAAGGAAGGGCATGCAAGGTCGCTGACAGGACATCCTTGTCACACAGACCTCCGTTCACCTTCTGACGCAGACTTCAACCCTATGACCCTGAACCTGTGCACCAGCTCTGGACGGCACTCGTTCTCTTTCAGCCAGCACCACCTCCTCCTCCACCACCCGTTCCGAAGCGGTCAGAGTCCAGAGATCTGAGCAGTCAGAGTGAGGACAGCCTGCTGGGTGGGCATTTCCTTTCAGCTCTGCCCTGGCGCTGCACTACCCCACCGAGAAGATGAAGGTCTCCTTCGCCTGCCTCCTCCTCCTCCTCGCCATCCTCAGCACAGCATCTGCTTTCTACAACCGGCAGAGTGAGTCACGTGTCTCTGTAAGCCAGAGATGAGAAGGGAGAACAGGCCGATGGCAGAGGGGTGGTTCCAAAGGTGTGGTCAGGTCCCTGGTCGCATTAGTCTTGGGGCCCCTTCAAGCCCAGCAGCTGTCCTCCCTTGCTCCTTGTTAGTAGAGCTGGGCTTGGTCGGGACCAGAGATTCTAAAGGTGGCTGAGTCTAGGAAACCATGGCACGTCTCCTTAGGGGATCTTGCCATCAGAAGGAATCATTTGGGAGGGAAATAAGGAAGTACTAGGGAAATCATTGTAAATGCATATGATAAAGGGGGGTGGGGAAAGCCAGGTGGTGGTGTACGCCTTCAATCCCAGCACTCGGGAGGAAAAGCCAGGCGGATCTCTGAGTTCGAGGCCAGCCTGGTCTAAAGAACGAGATCCAGGACAGGCACCAAAAGTACACAGAGAAACCCTGTCTCAAAAAAAAAAAAAAGAAAAGAAAAGAAAAAGACAAAGCTAATCCTGGTTCTAAGTCTGAACCTAGATAGCCTTGCCTCTCTCGGTGCTGGCATACATTGCTGGAGCCATTGGACCATCAAACTGAGTCCCAAAGGAGTGATCGAGCTTACTGTTTGAGGATCGATGACTCCCTTCTCTACCCCACCGTTTCCCCCCCACCCCCAAGACGAAATGAAGTCTGCAGAAAAAATGAAAGGGGTTAACAGTGGAAAGAGAGGGAACTGGGACCTACAGAGAATAGCGTTTGGTCACTCCTACCCTTTGCCTCTGCCATCACTGGTGGGTCCCTGGTAACAAAGGAGGCACAAAAATACTAAGCCCCTCTACGCACATACTGCTTTAGGCCGCCATAGCCTTTCCTTTTGCTTTTAAGGTTGCCCTAAGCACAGACTCTGGCCTGGCTCCACCTGTGCAGACACACAGAGGAACAAAGGTCAAGTGCAGTGGTGTGCAGTGTGTCCATGAACTCTCAGGATGACCTAACCGTTGCAAACCTTGATTTGATAAGCAAAGCCATGAGGATCACTGATGGGAACTATGCGTGGTCATTTATGCAGGAATTACGTGTGTTTGGTGGTTGGGAAGAGGCCACGGTGGCCTTTGGGACAGTCAGTCATCTCAGAGCAGCGGGTCCAGGCTCGGAGGAAGAGACAATGGCCTGACAAAAACTCAAGTCAGTCAGATGGGGCTCCCGACTCTAGTCATCAGCCCCAGGCATGAGATAAGATGACAAAAAGATTTGTGTTTTGAGTGTCTGGGTGCAAGGGATGGTGGTCTCCGGCTTGACTTCCTAGATAGTATCCTCAACTGGTGAGTAGTTAGACGTGGTTAAGAACAGCAACCACTAGCCAAGGCCAGTACCCACCCAGCCTCACAGAGGAGGGAAACAGCCACTTCCAAGGCAAGTAGTCATCACCATTTTTTTTCTCAAATATGTTAGTCATGGATTGAGTTTCTCTGTATTTCAGGCTCTTGAGTTGGACATCTTCTCAAACATTTTCATCATGATTCTAGGATAAAAGTATCTTTGTGCTGTCTTTGGCAGCACATATACTAATATATATATATATATATATATATATATATGCCAGGCGTTGGTTACACACGACTTTAATCCTAGCACTTAGGAGAAAAAAATATACATATATCATTTTACACCATTTAAGGGATAAGAAAGCTAAAACCCAGAGAAATTAAGAAATTACCCATGATTAAAATCCTTTATTCCATGCTGGGTGGTGGTGGCGGCGCACGTCCTTAATCCCAGCACTTGGGAGGCAGAGGCAGGCAGATCACTGAGCTCAAGGCCAGCCTGGTCTACAGAGTGAGTTCCAGGACAGCCGGAGCTGTTACACAGAAAAACCCTGTGTCAAAAAAACAAAAAACAAAACAAAAAATCCTTTACTCAAGATTCTGATCCGAGCTGACCTGAGGCCTGGATCACATGCTCTCGACCTGCTCTCGCTCATCCTGCGTGCCCCACCTTCTCATGCTCTTCCAGACCTCAGGCTCTCTAACGCCTGCAGAATGGGGTCCAGACTCCACCATAGCTTGGCTGGAGTGTAACCTGTCCTCCCCCATCCCATTTTCATCTCTTCTCAGTCCCTCCTTCATTCTTGTTTTCTAGCTACTCCAGCTACTCGGCACTCATGAGACACACACCTTCAGGCCTTCCCCCATTGCTTTCTTCCAGATCCTACAAACCCTCTGTCTAGCTCCCATTCATCCTCTAGGGACCCACTTAGGCCCCCACCACTCGCTTGGAGATTTCCCCTCAGCTCCAACACTGGGTTAGGTGCCCTCACTCTGCTCCCATGGCATCTCCTGCCCGTCTGTTTTTCTAGTGGAATCCATGCAATTGTAGTTAACTTTTCACTTTTACCCTATAACTGATCTACAGTATCAAAGGGTAGAGGCAGGGAGAACAGTCATCCTGAGTAAGAGATGCAGGAGACACAGGTGGATGTGTTTGTGTCTTTCTACGATGCCGGAATTAGTTAAATAATAAGGTGCACCCATTTCGTTAGCTGCAATTTGCAGCCTCTTCGTGTTTTAACCCCATAGAGCCTGGCATGTAACACCATCTCAGTTCCTATTTGCTTAATCTGGTCACCAGGAAACAGAAGTGAGCCAACTCCTCCCGGTTCCTTGGCAAATGTGAACGTCTGAGTTGCTCGCTGCACCTGATAACACTCAGTTCAGAGGCTAAAGGTGCCACATGCATGTCCCTGCACATATGTCCTTTTCAGTTTCCCCATTACCCATCACGCTATCATCAGTCCCTGCGACTGGACATTTTCTTCATCATAGGAGTGGGATATAACGGATGGAAGAGGGAGGTGAGCGCTGTGGCTTCCTTTTCTGCTCCTTGACTCAACTCACAATGTGACTCCTTCAGGAATGCCTGAGTCGATAAAACCTCTACCCAACTGCTGCCATAAGTACTATGAGAAGGTACTGCCAAAGAAACGGGTGGCGGGATACAAAGAGGCCCTCAGCTGCCACCTGCCAGGAATCATGTAAGCATTTCCCACATATATCTCCATGGAGATGGGAGGGGGAAATGGAGCAGGAATGGGATGCACAGGAAAGAAGTCTCCATCCTAGACTCCTTTGGATTGTGGCTAAGGGATTGGGCTTCAGCTCTCCAGGGTCTAGGTTTAATCCCTGTTTTTTGTCACTTAAAATTATGTCACTCAATAAATTACTACCATTATAAAACCCAAGCCTGGGTGTCCAGTCTGAACGGGTAAGGTCCTGAAGAAGGGAAGGTCAGGTCTAAAGGCCACAGAGGCCTTGGGGGACCCATACAGAGAAGCAAAGGAGGGCTCTAGAAAACATGAGCTATGCGAGTTGCAGGAATACCCCATCCTGTACCACAGCCCATGACAGTCTAACTCTGTCTCCACAGCTTTGTCACCAAGAAGAACCTAGAAGTCTGTGCCAACCCTAATGAGGAATGGGTCAAAGAGTACATCAAGGATCCCAAAATACCTTTGATGCCTCACAAGAATTTAGCCTAGTCTGCGGTTACCAGAGGTCAGTCCCAGCTCCTCAGTCCTTGATGATTATGTTTCTATGGAAGCCTAGGTTTGGGGGATGGAGGAGAAAGCCTGTGAGAACATGGCCATGCAACGTCACAGCCAGGGGCAGAGGAGCAGACTGTTTTAACCAGTGGCCAAAATAAAGAGCAGTTCTTTGAATTGTCTCTGTCCTGAAAAGAAATGTAAAAGTTAGGGAAAGTAGAAAGTAGATTCATATTCTCTCTCTCTCTCTCTCTCTCTCTCTCTCTCTCTCTCTCTCTCTCTCTCTCTCTCTCATAGGATTTTCTGTCCTTCAAGTCCCTATGTAGCCCATATTGGCCTCAAACACAGTAATCCTCCTACCTTGGCCTCCTAAAGGCTGGGATCACAGGTATGTGCCCCCATATCTAGCTAAAACATACTCTTTTTATCCCTCTTTTCGTGTGTGTGTGTGTGTGTGTGTGTGTGTGTGTGTGTGTGTGTGTGTGTGTGTGTGTAAGCCTAAGGATAAGGAATTATCCTCACCACTCTCCCACCTTACTCCCTGAGGCAAGGTTTCTCAATCAAACCCAGAGAGTCTGATATGCTAGTCTTGCTAGCCAGATTACTTATGATCCCCTGTCTCCACCAACTAAGGCTGGAATTATAGGTGGGCCACCACACCCACTGGGCATTTGTGTGGGTTCTGGGGATCCAAACACCTGTCCACATGCTTGGGTGGCAAGCACTTTAACCACTGGGCCATATCCAGACCTTCTCCAACGTGTTCTTGGTGCGGAGAAAGCTACCTTTCTCATCCTTTACCAGCTTCTCCTTGCCTCACATCAATCCACCAGTTTTCCATATGTTCCAGTTCCCAAACAGACAGACAGCCCATTTCTAGCCTCTGTACCTTGACCCATTAAAAGCCTCATAGAACTCTTGAATTTTCTATCTATCATTCTTTTCCTGGCTCTGTTTTCTCCCATTGTTATTTGTTGTTTTTTGATCTTCAATTTATTTATTTAATGTGTGTGAGAGTTTTGCTTGCATGTTTATGTGTGTCTGGTGGCCTGAGGAGGTCCGAAGAGAGCCTTGGGTCCCCTGAAACTGGAATTATATGGTTGTGAGCCACCGTGTAGGTGCTGGGAACTGAGCCTGGGTCCTCTGCAAGAGCAGCAAGTGTCTTTTAACCACTCAACTATCTCTCCAGGCCCCATAATTCCTGTCTTTAAAAAGATATAACTTAGCCAGGCAGTGGTGGTGCACGTCCTTAGTCCCAGCACTCGGGAGGCAGAGCCAGGTGGATCTCTGTGAGTTCGAGGCCAGCCTGGACTACAGAGAGAAATCCAGGACAGGCACCAAAACTACACAGAGAAACCTGTCTCAAAAATCAAAAAAACAAACAAACAAACGTGTGTGTGTGTGTGTGTGTGTGTGTGTGTGTGTGTGTGTGTGTGTGTGTGTGTGTACACTTTTATTTTAGCAGGCTGGGATGAGAATACTCACATTAGCAGTTTTCACCTTTGTAGAAGCCTTGCTGTCCCCTCCTTACTCAATCTTCCTGGGGTGGAATGCACACAGAGGCTGGCAGACTCAGAAGAGGCACAGATCCACCTTCCACCAATGCAGGACAGGAAAAGTGCATTAAGTCAGGTTGGGGATAAACACTTCATGCTTGCAATAAATGCCCTTGGTTGCTGATTTGATTCTTAACATTTTTGCTAACTCAAGAGAGATTTAATCTCAAGTTTTTTTCCCGGGGTTTCTTTACAATGCCTTATTAACTTTGTCAAGGTCAAAGACTAGGGAGTTCCATCGCACAAGGACAGAGGCTAGGGAGTTCCACCACACAAGGACAGACACTAGATTTCCCCTTCTCTTTCCTCTTCTGTCTTCAGCTCAACAACAGCGACCTGACTCCAACAGAATTCAACATTCCTCCCAAAATGCTGTTGTGCAAGCAAACAAAACAAATCAGCTAAAGTTAAACGATTAAGAAACAAATAATGCGGTGAAGCAATGATTCTAAGAACTGACCAAGAAACTGAGTTCTGCTAAACAACTCATAACTGCTTCGAAGGGGCAGTGCTGGAAGACTCGGCCACGCCTCCTAGGTCAAGCTCATCTACCTGACCCAGCTGGCCAATCAGACTCTCCCAGAAAGAATGGAAATTCAGAGGCTGGGAGCACTGAGCAGTTTCTGGAGACATCCTACAGGAAGAGTCTAACAGTGCTTCTCAACCTTCCTCATGCTGCAACCTTTACCACAATTCCTCATATTATGGTGACCACCAATCAAATTATTTCATTGCTACTTCATAACTGTAATTTTGCTACTGTTATGAATCATAATGTAAATATCTGATATGCAGGCTCTCTGATTGTTCGACCCCCCAGGTTGAGAACCACTGGCCTATGAGCTCTTGCCCTGCAGTTGCCAAGTTGTCCTGCCTCCTGACCTTGCTCCAAGTTGGGGATTCAGCTCCTGTTTTAGTTCCATGATATTCTCCCAGCATCTTAGAAATTATCCCTCCAAACAAACAAAAATAAATAAATAAAAATAAAAATCCTATGAGGCCATGGTGCTATTTTACATCTCTGGAATAACATTCATTGGTTTGGGTTGGTTTTGCATGTGTATTCAAACACATATAAGATTCTCTGTCTTAATCAGTTTTGCATGTACAGTTCAGTACAATCACATGCTTGTGTAGCCATTACTTCTACTCATCTCAGAATTGTCTCATAATCTCACTCGGAAGCTCTGTACCCATTGATTACCAAGTCACTAATCTTGCCTCCCCAGCCCTGGTAACCATCCTTCTACCTTGTGTCTTCATGAACTTCACTGTTCCAGGAAGTGGATTTACATAGTAGTTTTCCTTTTGTGACTGCCTTATGTCAAGCAATAGCCCACCTTCAAAGTTTATCCATGTTGTAGCATTCATCAGAATGTCACTCTCTTTTAAAGCTGAAAATACTCTATGGTGTGTATCTTCTATGGTCTGTTTCTCCAGCCTGTCCATCAATGGACCTGCAGCTTCTGTTAATCCCAGAGGGTGAGAATAAGACCATTGCCACAGTGCTGAGCCAAATTTTCAACAAGCTTTAATTAAATATTGGCCAGGATGATGGACTCTGGCCAGGTTCATTCCTGGGTTCTCAAAACATGGCCACAAGTCAGTTTTGCCAAGGCTTACAAAGGCACACTCATAAGGCCATTTATTTCCCACCAGGTCCAATCAGAGGCAAGCATGCATCCTGACATACCTCCTGCTTACATGTGATCAAGCACATCCAGTACAGTTGAATCAAACAAACTTGTGTAAAGGAGCAAAAACATGTGGCTTGTTATCTCCCATAAACAACAGTCTCCAGTATTTCAGGAAGTATCTATCCTTGGGCAAGGGACTTACAGGTTAGAGGAATTTTTACTTCATGGATCTCTTAGGCATAGTAATTAAAACTTAAAACATGACTTCTACTCTCACACATCACCTTTTTATTTTTTATTTATTTATTTGGTTTTTCAAGACAGGGTTTCTCTATGGAGCCCTGGCTGTCCTGGAACTCGCCCTGTAGACCAAGCTGGTTTCGAACTCATAGAAATCCACTTGCCTTTGCCTCCTGAGTTCTGGGATTAAAGGCATGTGCATCCACCACCTGGCTCACATCCCCCCCCCTTTTTTAAATACTACTCATAGTTCATCAGTGAATCTTAGTTTCTATCATTTGTAGCAAAAGCATCTTAGTGTGTATAATGGCCCATCAGTTACCACTACACCCAGGTGGGGACACAGAGACAGGTAAAGTGGGTGACTCTACCCTCAACCCTCATCCAAGGACCAGCACTGACTGCTTCTGCCCCTCCCTGAGATGTGAGCTCCTGCATCTTGTCCTAGGAACTTATCTATCTCTGCCCTACACTCTATCAGACCTCAAGGGTTATAACTACTTGTCATCCAGCCCCTGCCCCAGCTCACAACCTGATAGTTACATAATCACCAACAAAATCAATATATAGTCAGGTCTGGCTGCTTATTTGCAGAGTTAGGCACGGGGTGAGGCCAGATCAACACAGGGGCCAATACAGTATGAGAGTATACACTCAAGGCAGGAAAAGTACCAGAGTCCTTAGCCAGTACCAGGGTCAAACTCAGGGAACTGAAGTTCAAAGTCCTGTAGAACATGAAGGAACTGAAAACAGGAAGTGCAGGGCCGTGACTGGCAGATTGGTACTGAAATGGCCTTGTCTTTTTCCCCTGTTCATTGAAGGAATTCAAAGTTAGCTACCAACCTGGAGACCTAATTGAGACTGTACATATAATCCCCACCCAGCATAGAATATAAAGCTTGCCAGAAACTCCCAGGCCAGAAGGACTTTGGTTGGTTATATTTGTTTTAAAGAGTTATTCCTTGTCTTTTCAACTCACACACTTCCTCGTTCCTATAATAGGGTCATTTAAGCCCTATCCATTCTCAAGACCTCACTCATATAAACCTATTTGCAAGTATCTTATACAACTGCCAGCTTTGTGGAACACAGGAGGCCAGTTGTCCTGGGGTAGAATATAAAATCTATATTTGTTGATTTTTTTTTTCTACTTTCATGTGACCCAAAAGATTGACCCCAAGTGAGTAAAGTTCACACATAAAAACAAGATCAATAAGTTGGGACAGAAAGAAAGTAAGAAAGTAACTGAGTAAAGATCACACATAAAAACAGCTGGGCAGTGGTAGCACATGTCTTTAATCTCAGCACTCTGTGAGGCAGAGGCAGATGGATCTCTGTGAGTTCAAGACCAGCCTGGTCTACAGAGTGAGTTCCAGGAAAGCCAAAGCTACACAGAGAAACCCTGTGTCAGGGGGCAAGGGGTGGGGACACACACAAAAAAAAAACCTCACAAAAACAAGAGTTATAAGTTGGAACAGAAAGAAAGTAGGGAAATAACTCTGTATAATATAAAGAACATTTTCTGGTCAACTGTTCCCTCTCTGCCACCATGAAGATTTGGGATGGAGAACCAGGTATCCCAAGGATATCTTTACAAATGTTAGTGGCCTTCAGAGAGGCCATGTGAACACACATTTGCTTCTGAGGAGAGTTCGTATAACATACACATGACTAACTACTGCCAACAGACTGAGCTTGACTTCAGGGACATGGTTTTAAATCACTATCCCAAATTCATCCAGGAGATGGTCTCTATTTCCCCTTCCCAGTGAGATCCATGAGTACCCCTTGGACCCTCCTTATTACCTAGCCTCTCTGGGTCTGTGGATGGTAGCATGGTTATCTTTTACAGTTAATATCTACACATTGGTGAGTGCACACCATGTTTATCTTTCTTCGTCTGCGTTACCTTACTCATGATTTTTTCTAGTTCCATCCATTTGCCTTCAAATTTCCTGGTGTCCTGTTTTTAACAGCTGAGTAGTACTCCATTGTGCAAATGTGCCACATTTTCTTTATCCAGTTGTAGCTAGAGTTTTCCTGCCTTGCCCACAGTCAGGACAAATCTTTGTCACCCGCCAGTCCCACAGCCGCTCAGACCCAACCAAGTAAACACAGAGACTTATATTGCTTACAAACTGTATGGCCGTGGCAGGCTTCTTGCTAACTGTGCTTATAGCTTAAATTAATCCATTTCTATAAATCTATACCTTGCCACGTGGCTGGTGGCTTACCGGCATCTTCACATGCTGCTGGTCATGGCGGCGGCTGCAGTGTCTCTCCGCCTCAGCCTTCTGCTTCCCAGAATTCTCCTCTCTCCTTGTCCCACCTACTTCCTGCCTGGCCACTGGCCAATCAGTGTTTTATTTATTGACCAATCAGAGCAATTTGACATACAGACCGTCCCACAGCATCCAGTCCTTGGCTGAGGGACATCTGGGTTGTTTCCAGGTTCTGACTGTTACAAATAAAGCTGCTATGAACATAGTTGAGCAAGTGTCCTTGTGGTATGCTTATGCATCCTTTGGGTATGTGCCCAAGAGTGGTATAGCTGGGTCTTGAGGTAAATTGACACCCAGTTTTCTGAGAAACCACCACAATGACTTCCAAAGTAGCTGTACAAGTTTGCACTCCCACCAGCAGTGGATGAATGTTTCCCTTGCTCCACATCCTTTGTGCTTTGACCTTAGCCATTTTGACAGAATGTCAGAGTCATTTTGATTTGCAGGTCTCCGATAAGTATCAACAAAAACATGGTATATCGAGTTGCAGTAAGACTAAGTACCTCCCCATGTATTGAGGCTGGGCAAGGTGACCCAGGATGGGAAGTAGGGTCCCAAAAGCCAGTAAAAGAGTCAGAGACATTTCTCTGATGGCTAAGGATGTTGAATATCTCCTTAAGTGTTTCTTGGCCATTTGAAATTCTTCTGTTGAGGATTCTCTGTTTAGATCTATACCCTGTAGTTGGAAGGTTTCTCGGATCCCCCACAGACCTGAAGCCACTTATAAAATAATCACTCAGAGACTTAATATTATTTATAACTGCTTGGCCATTAGCTCAGACTTATTACTGACTAGCTCCTACACAGGGAGGTACTTAGTCTTACTGCAACTCGATATGTTTTATTGATACTTAGGAGACCTGCCCTTTCCTAAACAGAAACAGGAAGAGTGGATTGGGAGGTGGGAACAAGGTGGGGTGGCAGGAGGGAATGGGAGGAGAGGAGGAAGGGAAAACTGTGATTTGATGTAAAATAAATACATTTATTTAAAAAAAATCACTGTCTTGTCAGGACAGTGGTGGCACATGTCTCTGAGTTCAAGGCTAGTCTGGTCTACAGGGGGAGTTCCAGGACAGCTAGGGATACACAGAAAAACCCTGTCTCAAAAAATCAAAATAAAAAAAAATAACAAAATATAATCACTGTCTCTAGGGGCTGGAGAGGTAACTCGGTGGTTAAGAGCACCAAGGTTGTGGGTTCAATATCCAGAAGATGGCTCCAGTCTCAGAGGATCCAACATCCGCTCTGACTTCTGTGGATACTAGGCATGCATATGGTACACAGACATAGATGAAGGCAAAACATCTATACTCATAAAAACAG